ATCTGAAGGGGGAGTGTCAGGAGGATGAGCCCAGCCTCTTCTCCGTGGCGCCCAGCAACAGGACAAGAGGCAACGGGCACAAACTGAACCACAGGCAGTTCCATCTAAACCTGAGAAAAAACTTCTTCACTGTGAGGGTGACTGAGCATTGGAACAGGTTGCCCAGAGAGGTAGTGGAGTCTCCTTCCCTGGAGATATTCAAAACCCGTCTGGATCTGATCCTGGGCAATAGGCTCTAGAGGTCCCTGCTTGAGCAGGGAGGTTGGACTAGATGATCTCCAGAGGTCCCTTCCAACCTACATGATTCTGTGATTCTGAGGCAAAAAAGGTATATGGGTTCAATAAATATCACCCATCTGTATTTGAAAATGAAGATAAATTTGTATCACATGAGAATAATGAAATACTTTCAATATATTTTGGACTAAAATAGGTATTGCCAAGATATGCATTGTTAGAATTTCGTAAGGAAAGATACAACCACCAATTCCAGAAAAATGGCAAGTGCCTTAGGAGACTGTGGGACTTTGATGTTTATTTCTAGTGGAAAAATGAGAAGATTTCTCAATAGTAGAAGGTGTGCCAATACAGAAAAGTAACAAACTGATAATTGCAGAAAAGTTTTCTCACTTTTAATCACAGCTCAAATAAAAAAGGGATTTAAATAATAAAATTTTTATTCACTTCATCCTAAGAAATGTAACTTAATACTTACTCCTTTTATTACTTATTCCTTTTAATAAAGGGGAGCAATATCATCAATACCAGCCAACATAGTTTTATTGAAAAGATATCCTGTTAAACAACCTTGGGTTTTAGTCTTTGTGTGACTAACTGCAACAAACTATTTAGACTTTTATAAGGTACTTGATCTGAAACATGTGGCACTCTAAATAAAAAATATTCAGTGAAGAATACATTAAGTGAATTAGAAGTGGATTAAATTAAAGATTTCATATTTAGTAATTATGACAGCACTAGATCTGAAATAATCTTACACTGTTCTCAGTGACAGCAAAGTCATAGGAAATAAACCGAAAAATGTAGTGCTAGTGCAACGGCAAATAGTGGGAGGAACTTGCGTGAGCTGGATCAGTTTGTTCACCACGCTCATTTCTTAAGAGCGCATTTTCATACACCTATTAAAAAACACTGAATCAGTGTTTGCAAAAAAAAATATGTAATTACCAGTTAAAATGGTTTATGCTGAACCTTGAAAGACTCAATATTTTCAATTCTTTAGATAAAGAACTGGATGAACTTTATTACAGTATAAAGTACATAAGAAGCCATACTTAAAGGCTCTTTCAACTTGAGGATAAATGAATAAGGACATCAATATCTAGACATAAAGTTTTAAAACATACCTTATTTTCCCATTTGAAATTATCTAACACTGAAAGTAATGGACAACTGAAACAAGTACTAGAAGTGTAGACAGTACCTCTCTACCTCCTGCAGTTTCCAAATCAAAACCAATCTCTGCGTAAAATATATCTCAACTGTAAGAAACATGAATCAGGGATGGGGGAGAAAATACAGGAATTGTGATACATAGGTGGTCAGGCTATATAAGCTACTGGGACCATGTGGATTTTACATCTCACAACAAAGGTGAAAGGTTAACTGTCTTCACACCAGGGCAACATTTTGGAGAAACAGATCAGTGTACGCTTTCTTCTTTAAAGATGTTTCATCCTGCAGCTTTACTTATCCAAGAGTTAACTCTTCCTCATATAAACAGGCATGAGTATAAAACAAATATACCTTTCCTCAATATATTTTTACTGCTTCAAGGCAGCTGGCATGCAATAAATCTTCCTACAGAATCCTAACCATTCTTTTCTAAATAACCATGACTGATCAAAAGCGGTCAAAAAGTGCACAGCATCATTTTAAATACAAACATTTTTGCATTCTGCCATTATAAGAAACTAGCCAAACTCTCACCACCTGAGACAAGATTTTATATAAAGCTTGAAATATCCTATTGAACACAATAGGATTAATAAATAAGAAGCAAACAGACTACACCATGGCCGGATTCATCTGGGCTCTTCTCCACGCTCACTTACAGAATAGACAGCAGGCAAGAAAAGAGCGTATGAAAGACCTGCCATAACCTACATCTTGTCCATGTGTCAAACCACATCCAGTGTCTGGAAACCATACTCAGCACCTTAACTGTAATTTCTTCAGAAGTTTACTGCTATGCAGAATCCACTGCTAAACTAAAAATCTCATACTATGTCCTTTCAGAGAGACTACATTCATAGAATATACAGTAAGACTAATTATCTATCAGATTAAATTTAATGAAAGAGGGCACCTCCCGTAACAGATTTAAACCTATCCATATCACAACAGTCCTAGGGAAATAAATATTCAATGAAGGTAAGTATGTCAGAGAAAAAGTGGGTGTAACAATACTCCTAAGATAACAGAACTTTATATATTTACTTTTTATTTTACTTTGTACATATTTACTTTTAAAATCA